AAGAGACAAGGACTTTCCTCCAGAGCTGACAGAGAGAGAAAGCCTTCCCTAGAGCTGGCACCCCGAATGTGGACTTCTAGCCTCCTAAACTGTGAGAAAAGAAATTTCTGTTTGTTAAAACCACCCACTTATGGTATTTCTGTTATAGCAGCACTAGATAACTAAGGCAGCACCCATTGGCATTTCTGAGTTTCCAGCTTTTCTAACTCCAAGTCTGGGATATATGAGGCAAAAACAAAACCCAGGGAACTCATCATCATGTTGTTCCTTGGGTTCTCAGTTCCTAGCCATTCTTTGGCTTTCTCTATACCTTTCGGAGTCTCTTTATATTTGTTTTATAAATAATATCCAGGAATTTTTAGCTATACTTATCAGGAGGAATAGGGAATAGTACATACACTTCATCTTCCCAGAAGCAGAAGTCTGCTTTACTTTGCTTAATTTTATCTTTTCTGTTTTTAAAGTTTTTTTTTAAGTTCATCACTATGTGGCGAATAAAAAATCCTCTCCTGATCCATTACTGAGAAATTGTTTTAAATCCTAAAAACTCCCAACAAGAAAAAGCAAGAACCAGAATCAGAATGATATTAAACCTCCTCACAGGAACAGTAGCTGCAAGAAGACGCATGGGAGTAATATTTTTTAAATATAGAAGAAAAATATCTTTAACCTAGAGTTTTGTACCCAGCCAGATGTTTATCAACAGCAGAATGGCTAAATAAATTATTGTATATCCACACAATGATATACTATACACTATAAAACCACATTCAACAATATAGATGAATATTACTGTATTTTTAGGCAAGTAATGTGTGCCTTTTGCATTTGTTTGATGGCTGTGCCCTCGCCCCGCCCCCGCCCCCAGGTATTTTTGTAAGTGCTCTATGCTAATGTTTTTTACAGCAACACGTGGAAGAGAATTGGCATGGCAGTGTTTGTGAGGGTGCCTCAAGAGGGGAGGGCGTGGCCAGCAAACAAACGCCAAAGGTGTGCATTATTTACATAAAATACGGTACAAACATGATATTGAGCCAAAAGGCCAACACAACAGTATATATACTCTACGTAGAAGCCACTGTTGGAACCTCATCTGACTGCAGTGAGCTTTGGCTGTACCATTCTTCTGAGAATTGCCTCAACCAACAGGAGCCCCCTCACTAGAAAAATACCTGGGAGGTTACATCCTTTCCCCTGGTTATAGCCCATAACCAATAAGGGGATAGAAAGGTTAGTCACTTGCCCCAAAGTGGTTTAACTCTACAACATCCTTCACATTCCAGGACACCTGTGAAATCGAGCTGAATTTCAGCTAAAATCTATCTTTACCTAACTTCTACCCTGTCCTGTTTCCCACATTCCGTTACAGATTTCACCTGAGATCCCTCACTCCATAAATCATTTGCATAAGAATCCCTGTCTCAGGCTCTGCTTCTGGAAAATGCAGCCTTAAGACTGTTGGTTCCAGGAGTGGTTCTAGAAAGAAGATTCTAAGGAAGAGAATCTGTAATTGAATTACTCATCAGCTGGATAGCAATGGGGGCCCTATCACTGGTGGTAGATAAGTTGTTACCTATGTTATAGCAGTGCGATTGCTAAGACTTTCACCTGTGGTAAACTGGAATGAGACACAGATAAAGGGGATGCACTCGCTTGTGCAATGTCTCTGATGTTTTAGAGGTATGGCAGAAACAGAAACTATAAGGACTGTGTAATTGGTCAATATTACTAAAGGGACACTGATGTTTTGCAGGATGAAGTCAAAATGATAGGATGAGATCTATTAATCTTCAATATAAAGCAAAGTGGGGGAATTAGAGAACCCCTTTGAGAGCGTTTAAAGAGAAGCTCATCTCTGGCAGACTGAGCTGAAGACTAGTAACCAGAGGCTCAGAACTGTCAGGGATGAAGGTCTGAGTTACTCTACCAGAGGATATGCCTAGATCAACATAAAAAACTGTATATGAAGGGAGAGGGAATCTAGAATGGAGAGTAGAGGAGAGAAATAATATGTATCAGTTATAGCCTAGGAACTAACTGAAGCAGAAAGGGCAGTAGTTCTTCCCACTAATACTTCTCCAATAATTTTTCCCTGAAATGGTGGCTAATCAGAATCCTAGAGACACTATGTCCAAATGGAGTGAACGTCACGTGTTAAGTAAATGGATCTGAGAGTTACAAGGTGTAGACTCTAGTAGACACAGTTGTTGGCTCTGTCAGTTGTGAGTGTTGGCTGCTAGTAGCTCCCATACATACATCCTAAAATATAGATATAAGGACGACCTTGACCCTTATTGCTTTCCTTTGGGGGTGGGGGGTAAGGGAGCAAGAGACTAGCCTTATAAGTAGGAGAACAAACCTGCTACTGGGCACCAAGCAGTCTGAGCTTAGATGCCAGCCATTGACTGCAGTTCCTGGTGAAGCCCCAGTTGTTGGGCATTTAGACAACCTGAAAGCCCATGAAAGTTGCATCTTCTCCTGCAGGAAAGGGACAGAATCTGTCCCCTGTACAGTTGAATATTCAGGCAGCCTCTCCCTTGGCTATTTCCAGATAACACAAGTAAATCTTCTGGAGCAATTTTTAAATAATTATATATTTCACTCTAAGCACTCTACATTTCTTATCTCATCAAATCCTCTCAACAACTCCATGAGACAGGTAGTATTGTTATGCCCCATTTTACTGATGAAGAAACTCAGACTTAATTAACTTATCTAAAGTGATGCAGCTAAAATACATTAGAATGTATATTCAAACTCAGAACATTCTAACTCTAGACATTATGCCCTTAACCATTATGGAACACTACAGAGCACTGGCCTGGGAATGAAGCCCTGGGTCTGAATTGCAGCTCTAATACTAAACATCTGTGCGAACACTGGCAAGTCATTTCCCTTTTCTGGACCCTAGTTTTCTCCTCTTAGAGTGTTCATCTCTCCTGACTATTGTGAGGACCAGAAGAAATAATGTCAGTAAAAGCTGCCCCATTGGCTGTAAATTTCTAGAACGCATGAGGACAGTTAACTATGCTGTTCTCATCAGCAAATCCCAGGGCACGTCCCTTCATAATACATGCTCTAGAAGGGACCAAGAATTTGATCCTGGGTGGCTGGAGGGCACAGTGCCCTACGGGAGCACCATCTTCAGGGAAAGGGTCCCAGCAGGCCTGGTTGACGGGAGGATTTGGAGGATTTAATAGACTACAGCTCAGTGCCTGCCTGGCTCTTCCCACCAAGGCCAAGTGTGGAGACGCAAAGGGGACACAACAGTAGACACTAGGGTGGACAGGGCTTGGCAGGTGAGTAGCCTGGGGTAGGGTTACCACGGTAGGAGGTGGGAGCATGCAGAACCTGGGCCAGGGATCCAGGAAGATGGATTGGATGTGTACAAGAGGCAGGTGCTCAGGATCCAGATTGGTTGTACATACATGGGCTGGGAGGTCTCAGGCCAGATAACCTGACAGGCCCAGACAAGGGGTGTGCTTACAGGCAGGATTCAAATGGTCTTGGCCAAAGGCTTCCCACAGGAAGGCAAGACTGGTGACAGTAGTAATAATTGAAAACGCTAGCAAACATTGAGTTCTTATATACTCCAGGCTCTTGCAAAATAATTGTTTATGCATTCTCTCCTTAAAGACTCACAACAATTCTATAAGGTTACAGATGAGGGAAAAAAGACTTAGAGAGGAGACAATGACTTGCCCAAGGTCATATAGCTGGTAGGTGGGAGCCGGAACTGAAATCCAGTCCTTTCTGACTCCCATGTCCACACATGTTTAACCACTAATGACGACACAGTGACAGAGGGAAGGCAGAAGAAAGGCAAAGAATCTGGCTTGCAACAGCGCTCACTAAATGGGAGAGCCCTCTCCCTTTCCCTTAGGGGCATGGACCATGTGCCAGCCACCTCTGAACTCCTATCCTGCCAAACACAGAGGGGACACTCAGAAAATTGACCACTGAATTAGAAACACCTTAGAGATCTTTTCCTCCAAGCTCCTCACTGCACAGATGGGAAAACCAAGAGCAGAAGAAAGTCCAGCCAAATTCTGGTAGTTCTGATAGTTCCCATGATGGAAAATTGGAACGGTGTTTCACAATACCAAATGTTAAATTCTTTCAGAAAGAATTTTTGGTGCCCCTGCTTTGCTGATGACCCAAGCACTGCCTGGCAGTGGAAATCCAAGTGCCGCCTCTCCATCTGGATCTCTGCATCTGTATCACCATCAGTAGGAAACAAGTGGTTGACAGCAGGTCAACCTCAAACCTTCCAACTAGACAAGGCTAATCGAAGGACCATCAGGTCATGACTGTCTCTGAGTGCAGCTATGTCCAGGGCAAGGCAGTTTGCATATCTTTAAGTATGACAAAAACCTCATGACCAAATCTGTCAGGATGAAGTTCTGGTTAACTGAGGGGTAACCCTTTAAAATGGAGACCCTGCAGGTTCACCATCTGCCAGGTCACGGGATTATAAAAGAGCGGAAGAGTGACCTCTGAGATTCTCTTTTAAGGAGCACACACACCGGAGGGTTGTCTGTCTCATGCTTATTTCAGATGCAAAGCCATTTGCCAGTCACCAATTCCAAATCTAGGAGCCAGGGTACACAATCCAAATCAATCACAGAGCAAAACTGAAATTTTTAAAAGGTGGTAGAGGAGGGTGGAGACTGCATTGTAATTGAAGATTTAAAACAAACATACAAACTTTTTTTCCAGTTCAGACACTCCGTGATTCTAGAACATGAGAGCTGTTTTTTGCTTGTTTGTCTGTTTGTTTTATTTCTGTTTTGGAAAAGAGAGATGGTAGATGTAGTTGCAAGAAATTCAAGGCAAAACTGCTCATGGAATCACTGGGGTTAAAACAGCAGTGATGCAGATGTAGACATGAACCTGCCTGGGTTGTTTGGTCAGAGGCTTCTCCCAGAAGTAGGCATGTGCCAGTATTTTTCTCAGCTCAAACCCATCAGTGCTGGAGATGATCCGAGCACATAGTGAACATGCGTAAAGCCTTTCAGAACAAACTTATGTAGAGGTCTCATCTTTGGCCAGCTACAGCTTGAAGTTCTCTGGGTCCTCTTGAGCAACAGTGGTTCTCATGGTAGCTTATTGGGGCTTCTTCTGAGTTGGTCTTAGAGAAATTGATAGGAGAGCGGGCATAAAAATGACTAAACAGGGACACCTGCTCAACTGCAGCAGCCAGGGGGAAGGGAGATTAATAGAGTGACCCAAAAGGTACCCTGGACCCCTTACTTCTGCACAATGGTAGGAAGATCAACCTTCAGCTCAGGCTCCATCAGGAAGTGAGTCCTCCCACCAAAGGCATTTGCCCATCTTATGCCTAAAACACAAGAGAACCCCACCACCACCACAGACACACACACACACACACAAGGACCAATACAGAGAACTCAGTATAGAGAGATGCAGACAGCTGTTGTACCCAGAAAACAAGAGAGGAGCCATTCCTTGGATAATGAGTAGACTAAGCAAACAGTATATTGCAGAAAACCTTGGAAAAATCAGCTCTCGTTAGTAGTATGGTGATAATGGCACTTAGTAGCACTTTAAGCAAGTGTAAAAGAAAATATAAGAACTTAGAGATCTAAGAGATCTGATGGCCAAAAGACAGTGTGGAACATGAAGCAGATGACTGGCAGAAGCTCTTTCAATGCATTTAACACAGTTGTAACTAGATAATTAACTCTATGACTGGCTTTTTAATGCATGATCCTTCTACTAGAATTTAAGCCCCATGAGTGAAGATAGGGACTTTGAAGCCTTGTTTTACCTTCTCACAGCCTTGCACACTGTATGCACTTAATAAATAATAAATGGAAGAAGGAAAGAGTAAATAGTGGGCTAAGATGGAGGAATCAATATTGGAGGCCACCAACAGTCCTCCAGACTTGGTTATAAATGCTTTGGATTACATTAACTGTTCAGTGAACTCTATAGAATTCTCATTCTAAACTCCTGGTTGTTCTGGTTTCCAGATGCTCTGGCTGGCTGTCACTTGGGCATCCAGCTCTGTCCTGCCGTGGAAGCCACAGCCTGTAATGGATCAGAGGACTTTTCACCTGTCTTCTATCTGGTGGGCATCTCCTCTCTACAGGAGTTCCTCTTCCTCCCTGTCTTCTTTATCTTCCTGCTCTTCTACCTCCTCATTCTTGTGGGTAACACCTTGATCCTGGTGGCCGTAGTGGTAGAACCTAGCCTCCACAAACCCACGTACTTGTTTCTGATCAATATCTCTGCCCTGGACATCATTTTCACCACATCTACTGTCCCCAAGATGCTGTCCCTACTCCTACCTGGGGACCGCCTCCTCAGCTTCCCTGCTTGTTTCCTGTAGATGTACCTCTTCCACAGCTTCTCCTACTCAGAAGCCTTCATCCTGGTGGTCATGGCCTATGACCGCTATGTGGCTATCTGCCACCCACTGCATTACCCTGTCCACATGACCACACAGACCAATGCTGCACTGGCAGCCAGTGCCTGGTTAATTGCCCTCCTCCTGCCCATCCCAGCAGTGGTGCAGACCTCCCAGATGGCATTTGACAGCACTGTTCATATATACAACTGCTTCTGTGATCACCTGGCTGTGGTCCAGGCCTCCTGCTCTGACACCATCCCCCAGACCTTTATGGGCTTCTGCATCACCATTGTCATGTCATTCCTGCCCCTTCTCCTGGTGCTTCTCTCCTATGCCCACATCCTGGCCTCAGTACTTCGCATCAATTCCAGAGAAGGACGCTCTAAAGCTTTCTCTACCTGCAGCTCCCACCTTCTGGTGGTCAGCACCGACTACTCATCTATTGCCATAGCCTATGTGGCCTACAGGGCTGATCTGCCTCTTGACTTCCACATCATGGGCAATGTAGTGTTTGCAATTCTCACTCCTGTTCTCAACCTCCTCATCTACACCCTGAGGAAAAAGGATGTCAAAACAGCTATTACCAAAATGGCATGTCTCCAGGACTCATGGCGTTCTGGGGCCCTTGATCCTTAGATATAGCTAATTCTGCTCCTAGGATGCCAGTATGCCAAGAACAGATAAGGCCACCAAAAAGTTTTTTGAAATGGAAGAATGACTTATAGCAGGACCAAAAATACACCATTGCAACTTCCATTTCCATTAATGATAGACTAGATTATTAAATCAACCCTTCTGTGGAAAGAACTAAAATTGTCAGATAAAATATAAAAAAGTATCTTCTTAAAAGCATCAAAAAAGTTTTTCAATATAATAAGGCCAACATTGTAATAAAGGTGAACAGAGAGGTGAGTTATTAAGGCATGGATAGACATATCGACCAATGAAACAGAACAGAGAGTCCAGAAACAAACACATAAGTAAGACCTAAATATGAAAAGCAAAACTATAAAACTGTATAGGAGACTAAAGTCATGATCCCATAGTGCGGAAATTTGTCTTAAACAAGATTTAAAAAGCTCTAAGTCTAGGGATTTAAACGGATAAATTTGACTTTTTTTTTTTATTTATTTTTTTTTAATATTTTATTGTACTTCAGGTGAAGGCTTACAGAACAGATAGTTTTTCATGTAACAGTAACACACATGCTGTTTTATGACATTGGTTAACAACCCCACAACATTTTAACCCTCTAAATACTCAACTTTTTTCTTTTTTTTT